GTAAGAAAAGTATAAACACTCTGAATAAGACAGTATGTACCTCTACTGTCTGTACACTAGATATTTACCATATCATGTGACTTCCACTCCATGTTGTGTAAGAAAAGTATAAACACTCTGAATAAGACAGTACGTACCTCCGGTGAGTCAAATGGGTAGCGTGATCCAAATTTGAATTGTAGTTGGAACTTTTCATTTTCATAAAGTGTACCTGAAAGRGAGATATAAATATTATCTTTTTCCCAACTAATACCATAACATGTTAAGCTTAAAAGTTCATGTGTAATAATTTGGTTTGTATTTATTGAGGCATGGCTAACAATCATTGTCGTCAACCCCCTTGGCAAGGTGTGAATTCTTTAGACTATCACCATTCCCATAGATATACAGGGCTTTTCAGGCCAATTTACAATAAGAAATAAATAAATAATAAAGAAATACATGTACAATCAAAGAAACTGATAAGATAAAAAAACTATTATTATTATCCTATAAATAAAGTATTATAGTTAGTATATGTAATAGGACTCCATGCTGTCCAATTAAGAAATAATTGGACGAGGAAAATTTCGAGGACTGACAAAATTGGAAGAGGCCATAGGCCGAGTTCAATTTGGCAGTCAGAGGAATTTTTCGAGTCTAATTATTTCTTGATTGGGGAGCATGAAATCCCATTACCTATTAATTATATAGCTGCCTAATTAATCCCATATCAACAAGTCCTGTCCAATTAAGAAAATAATTGGACAGTTACCTATATGGGATTAATGAGAAGCTATATAATTATCATAGTAATACAACTATCAATAAAGCCAATAACGAAAAAATATAAAAATGTATATGTGGAATGTATTACTATAATTATTGTTATACTATAGATAAAGTCTTAGGTCAGGTCTTTGAGAAAACGATCTAAAAGTAGTTCTTTGAGGGAGGCTTTAAAAGCATTTGAGGACTTTGAGCCTTTGATTGAGGTTGACAGGCTGGTCCAAATTTTAGTACCCCTGTAAGCAGGGCCGTAGCCACAAATTTCCGATTTTTTTAAATTATGTTTTTTAAACATATTAACTCTATGTGTTCTCTCCAAGAGCTAAGCTCATCGTGGAGGATTACACAGTTAACAATAATTACAAGGTTTCTGGAGTTTTAGGAAAAAGGAAAAAAAAAAGTTTAACATATTAACAAAAAAACACATATTATATATAGAAAATACCTACAAAATCAATTACGCGTTCTTTTCTCTATCTAAATCTTTTGGTGTTTGCCAAATATTGTTGGACACTCAAGGACAATTTTTGATTTTGCTTAAAAGTTAAATGTGGAGAAACACATAGAAAAAAGCTTACTTTATCAGACTCTGAAGTATGCTGTTGGAAAAGCTGAAAAGTTGGAAATTTCTGATTGGTCTGGTTTTCAAGGGTTTTCAATTTTTCTTATATATATATATATATATTTTTTTTTGTTGTTATATTTATTTATTTATTTTTCTTATATTTTTTCCCCGAAAGTTGGTCCAGTTGAAACCGGACCAACTGTACCAGTGGCTACGGCCCTGGTAAGAGACATAATGACACAGTTAATAAAGGTAAAAAGGTAAAGGTAAAGGTAAAGGGAAGAATTTATATAGTGCCATTTCCAGGAGCTCAATGGTGCTTTACAAGATCAGTGGAGGACTTTACAGGCTGCATATTAAGGCACTATTAGCAGCCGTGCAGCTTACAATAATGAGTAATTTGTTAGTATGCTAGTATTATGCCTCCAGATTGGAATAGGCTGTTGAATCGGGAGACAATCCCCTACTCTTCATGAATAATTCAACAGGTTCTTTTATGTCCACCATTTTACTGCAGGTTAGGAAGGGTTGGGAGAGAGGGCCCAAGGTTTTAGTCCTTATCCGAGAAGACTTGATGGTCTAACCATCTGGCCGAGGCTTGAACCACCACCTCCTACATAACAGACTGACGCTCTTACCTACTGAGCTACTGGGTTGATGGTATACAACAAAACATGTTGTGAGAACTGGGATGTAACGGTGCTTTATTTTGAAAATTTGCATTAAGGATTGACCTCGATTGTCGAAAAGTTTTGATAAATGTGTATGTTTTTTTTCCTTCTATAATCTTGAAAATCTACATTTTGTGATTTTGTGAAATTTCGGAGCATAAAACTTAACTTATACTAACATTTTTTTGCTATATACTGTAACCTAGCAAAATAAAACTTGGCAGTTATGTTTATGAAATATTGTCAACTCTTTCCATTAAATTTGGTGGTATGAAAGCCAAAAATGGATGCCATTGCTTGAAACCAGTTGAACTTGAAATCATTTCTGGAGGTGCAATTTTAAGTGTTTATGTGGGTATTCCACCCCATAAATTTTCCTTTAAGTGCTACTACGACGAAAATCACTCAAACTTGGATTCAGCTGAAACTTCCTAAGAATACTCTTTAAAGGTCCAATAATCACTGTATGAAGTGTTTTCTCGATATTCAGGAAGAAAGTATGATATTTTTACGATTATTTTTTGGAGTCTGTGACATCATACGCTCAACATCGAACATCGCTCCATACATTTCTTTGTAGTTTATGATCAAAATATCAGTAGTAAAGGGAGAAAGAAATACCCAAACACCCCAAAATATCAATTATAGTCACAAGTAATGTGAAATAAGCACATTAGTCACTCTTTGGGCTTCATAGGAATAAAATAAATTAAGGATTTATATACAAAGAAATATATGTAGCAATGTTTGATGTTGARTKTATGACGTCACAGACTCCAAAAAATAATCGTAAAAATATCATACTTTCGTCCTGAATATCGAGAAAACACTTCATACAGTGATTATTGGACCTTTAAAGAGTATTCTTAGGAAGTTTCAGCTGAATCCAAGTTTGAGCGATTTTCGTGGTAGTAGCACTTTAAACTTTCCCGATAGTTAGATCAGTTTTTTTTTTACAACTTTGTTTGGGTAAGCTATAACTACAGTAAATGTATACATAATTAGAAAATTTAATATAAAAGACCACCCAATAGGGAGAGCACGAAGGGGACTCTATGTCCCATGCTAGGCACTTCCCTTGAGGATGCACATTAGATAAAATAAAATAAATTAAAATAAATATACTATTATCTGTGACTTGTATGGACACTTGCAAACTAGTGACCATGTGCAAGGTAGGTCAAAATCAAATAAACTGTTATTGATACCATTCTAAAAATTTGGTTAAAATCTTATCACTCAGTATTAAATAGTCCATTTGCATGATGGGGTCATTTGACGCCCACTACCGAAATGCTTTACAAATTTTCTTTCTTATTTAAATTTGTATTTCCTCATGAGAATAGCAAGACAATTGGTGCTAATTAATTGAATAAAAGAAAGTGTGTAATGGATTCTGGTAGTAGAGGTCAATGACACCATCATGCAAACGTCCTATTACAATTTTATTTTACAAATTGTGTACATAGGTTTTGCAAATTTGTGCATGATTCGCATAAAATACCAAGATATTTCTATTTTGTCTATAATCCCCATTAAATTATGCTCAAACTTCGAAAGTTTTTAGAGCTATAGCATAAAAATATGTGATTCTGGGAGAGTTTATCAATGCGTCTGAGACACTCTGATTATTTCGATCAAGTCACCTTAAATAACAAGTAATGTAAGGAGCGCATATTTTTCTCGAATTGTTTTCAAGAGTCGCTGCCCCTATGATGCAAGACTGAACCTTTGGCCCATGGTATCCAACAGGACTCTCACGTAAGACAGGGTCTAGCAACTTACCCATGACTTTTAAATACAGTCTTAGAAAAAAAAAACAAAAAAAGAAAAGCTTGATTTACTTTCACTTTTAGTACTAGTAAAATTTTATGACATGAACAAAATGATGACATAATTTATTTTAACGCCATTGTCAAAGACATAATTTTTGACATATGACCAGCAAATACTCTCGATTCAGCTAGCATACGAAAAAATATACAGTAAGCTTATATCCTCTCTTAAAGTATCTTTTTATCTATAATCATTAACTAACCTTGTGCGCCATCCAATTCTATAATCCATCTGGAATAAAAATACATTTAACAATGTTAATTTTTCATTGGCGAAAATTCAAAACATGGCTCAAATCTAAGATTTCATAGAGTTTTTTACTCGTCTAAGAAACCTTCAAAAGGGCAAATATTCGAAACTTTGAAGGGTTTTGACTGTAATGTCAACTGAAAGTCCGTTCAACTGGGAAGAAAGTTCTGGTATTGGAAAAATTGGAAAAATTTAGATAAGAGATAGGACGAGTTTCGTCTTGGCTTTCTGGCCTAAAAAAAAACAAGAAGTCTTTCATTTTTGCCTTGCTTACTTTGTAAGGTTCGATTCTCTGTGGATTTTCATGCCATTTGGCGGTTTTTTCTGTAGTTCGCAGAGCTCTTTCTGCAGCCTCTTTTTCCAAGCCGCCGCCATGCTTTCTTCTTCTTCGAATTTTTCTGATGTTTGTTGTTGTGATCCAGTCTGACTGGTTTTGACTCTCCATCCTGCACTCCACTGACCGCATGCACTGCAGGCGGTACTTTTACGTCATTTATCACAGGAAGCCCACTAGACTGATTCAATAAGTCGTAGTTTTCGGCTTCTTCCTTGAGAAACGACAAGAGAGCGAAAGCACCGACTTATGGTATCAGTCTAGAGACTAGAAAGCTACGAAAGAACCTCAAGGTTTTCCACTGTGACTTCACGTAATCAAAAACTTTTGTTTAATTTTTACCAGAAAAAAAGAGTTTGCAATCAAATTGTTTAAATAGATATTAGTAGAATCGAAAAGTTTCGAGAATATTTGAAGTGAATGCAGGAATTTCTGAACCTTACAACTTTTACAAAGAACTAATATTCTGGCGGGGAAATTTTGCCAATACACATTTCTTTGTAAAARGTTCCCGATGTTTGAAAAAAATCATACTTCCGTAGTTTAGGCCCTGGATAAGCGAGGAAACAAGTTTCCAGAAACATGCTTCCTTTTAAGAATGTTTGCAAAGGTGGCAAAAACACCGGGAAGCATGTTTCCTCAACATCGGTTAGCGCATGCGCACTTTATTGTTAATTACCTTTACATCTCCTCGTCCGCCATCTTGTTTTCACAAGATAGAGCGAGGCTGTTAAGTAACGAAATTTTATAATGTTGACTTTCGCGGCTAAACCAGGAAACATCGGGAAACATGTTTTCATGCGTCTTGTAAGTGTGAAATGCTTCTGCCGCACAGCAGAAACATTTTTGCGTCTTGAAAGCAAAATTCGTTGCACGCAGCAAACATTATGTTTCGCATGTGGCTAAACTTGGAAACATTGGGGAAACATGCGCGCAGTTAACATGGTTCTGGAAACATGTTTCCTCGTCTAGCCAGGGCCTTAGTTTATGGCAACTTTGAATACCAATTCTTTACCTGAACGTGACGTCAAATGTAAAACCTCTTTGGTTTATTTATTTATTTATCTATTTATTTATCATATTTATTTGTACGGCTTTTCATTGCACTCGTCATTCATCTACCCAGATTCCAGAAATCTTTTTTTGTTTTCCCTTTGCTTTATCCCGCTAAATACGGCGGTAGCCGAAGAAAAATAATCTTATTTGATTTCTTCTCAAGTGAACGATATAATGTTATTCTATACGGTGTTTAAAGTTATAATTGCGTGGGCCTCCAGACTGTACCGCATCCACCAAATCCTTTTCTTCCTCTTGAATAATGTTCTTCAATATTACAATCGGTACGTAAATTCTTGGCTTAGGGGCGAAAGAAGAAAAAGAAAAATAGTTAGCTTGGAAACTTGAAATAAGGTTAAACTAGAAATTTAATTAAACTGATAAAATAAAATAACCTTTTTATTTGTTCTTTTTCTTTTTGTCGGCGTTTTTTCTTTAATTTTCGCTTCTTGTTTTTATTTAGCTTTTCCTCTGTCTTTGTAGACGAATCTAAACCTTCTGTTTGTTGGTGTGACACTTCACCCGAACGTGATGGGGTCGCCGTAGAAGTGGTCGTAACCCTACCTAGATAGCAAGAACGATAATTAACTCAGTAAGACATTATTCGGAGTACAATAATTAATAGATATCTATTCACCTTGAGTTTTGCTATTGACTGTCTGTTGGAGATCCTCTGGTTTTACAGTAACAGTGTACACCTTCTTCAGCTTTGGAAGAGGTACCGGCCATTCTACATAAGTAAATAAACAAATAAATATGTAACTAAATAAATAAAAAATAAAATAAATAACTAAAAAATACCTAAAATGAATGAATGAATGAAAAAAAATTTCCCATCTTTTTCAATTTGAATATGGTTTCGTGATGACAACAGGGGAAAAAAGATAAAAGATTGCGGATTTCTTTGCCTAAAATTCTTCATTGAAGACCAAACTCCAGAGTTGAAAGGTAATATACCATTTCCAAACATGCGCGGTAGTTTTTTACTATTAGTATAAGATAACGTCATCCTCTCGAAATTTCTTTCAAGAAAAATTAATTTGGCTGAGCTCAGGCTACATCTTCCCTTGATACCATTTCCCCAGGACTTAGTGGATATTAACTAAAACTGAACAGAGCTGAAGCCCTCAAAGACTGACGTCACGGCATTGTTGCAAAGACTGATATCTGACAGATTATAGCGGTACATGCAGGTTTAAGCCCGACGGAAACAAAAGCTGAAAGAACGGAAAGCTGCTTGTAAAACTGAATTAGCTTCCGCATAGTTGATATTGCTTGCAAGCGCACCTTCCTGATACAATTTAAACTGAACTGAAGCAAAAGCAGCAACAAACTGCAACAAAAGTAAAGGTATGCCAAAAATAAATTTTATCCATATGCTTGGGTTCATTTTCACTGTCACTTTTCATTCTACTTCCGTTTGTAACGGACGAGAAAAAGATACGAAAGAAACTGCAAACAGCAAGAGTTGAATGTTTGAGATCTTTATGAGAGAACCCAGAGTTATAAAGAAACAATTAGTCAGAAATGAAACAAACACCACATGATTAATAATTTTAACAGTTTTTTAAAATTTTGTACTAATATTTTGATGCGAATGTGATTGATTGATTGAGCGAATCCAAGTATCAGACCTGAACTCACTGCTTCTTCTATTGCATTGTTTTATTCCCAAAACAAAACAATGATATGTCTGCTATAATACAATTTGCAGCGTGCTACTCTTTTGCAGATTTCCGACCGACAACGTTTTTTGAACTAATACGTGTATACATTGCATAATATTTACTTAACTCTTCTGCAACGCCATAAGGAATGTTAAATGAGTCAAAGAATATTTAATTATCTAAGTGAAATAAATACATATAACAAGAAAATCAACGGACCGTCAGATTTGTCATATCGTTTCCATGGTTTTCAGAAGTATCACGGTGTGAAATAGGCCTTTGTTTATGATATATGATCATCTAGTTATTTATGCATAGTGGTTTCAAGGTTCTTGCTGGATGACTTGTTCGAACAAACGTCAAAGGCTTTTCAAAGCAGTAAATTATTGCATTTTGAATCATCAGTTTTAAGTAAACTCAAGTGAAGAAGGCACGAAAAAAACCCACTTTATTGCCATCTGTACGACACTGTTCTAAACTGAAGACAAGAGATTCAGTCTAATGACTTTACGTTACTACATGAGCTATGGGTTCTGGATCAAGCAAGAAGAAATCTAAGGCAACCATCTCAACAGTGAAGGCAGCACAAGCATTCAAACACCCTGACAAAACTTCTGGCAAAAAGAAAGGAAAGGCAAACGTTCTAATTTCGTTTCATTCAAAGAATTACCAGAAGGCACAAGAAGCTGGAAGCATTATTCGAGATAATGGCTACAATGTCTTTCTCATATCTGAAGGAAGTCCGTTTGCTTTGGGGCTGCGTGAACAGAGCGTTCAGTGGTGTGACGTTTTCGTGATAATCGCTACGTTTAACTACCAGCGTTCTCATTACTGTGTAGAATTAGCAAATTACGCAAAAGACAAGAAGAAACCGGTTGTTTCACTTTTAGCTCAACCAAATTACTCGCCTTCTGGTTCAGTAGGAGCAATTTCCCTGGCATGGGGAAAGCCAATACACCACGTTCAAAACTCGCAAGAAAGTAACGATCAGCTACTGGTAGCACTCACAGAGAAGCTGACAGGAGTCGAACGAAGTACGGTTTCCATGCCAACACTCGATACGGTCGAAGGATCTGGCTTGAAGACAGAAAAGACACAGGGTTCTTATGTGTGTATCGTTTATTTGGAAGAAGGCGTTGAGGTTGCTAAGATGGTAAAGTCTGGCCATGGTGTTTCTAATATGGGAGCGGCAGCAAACACACTTAATCAAGTACCAATCAAAATGGGGGATCCTAAAGGGTCAAATATTGAGTTGATCAAGGGATGTAAGGTTTTTATACCAATCCTGACATCTGGGTATCAGGATTCCTCAAAGTGTCGAGAGGAATATGAATGTGCAAGGAAGCATGAAAAACAAATAATCCCGGTCAAGGGAGAGAAGTTTTGGCCATCTGGTTGGCTATCTCTTGGTATAGCTGGTAAACTGTACTATGAATTAACTGACTCCAATCAAGCTTATACACCACACAAGAATGTTCCTGACAGCACACCTATGAATGACTTCATCTTCGCAGTACTGACAGCATATGAAGGGGAACTGTCGGAAGAGGAGAGGGAAAAGGTATGTATTGTCTATTGTGTCATAGTGGAGTACAAATAGTCCTCCATTCCTATCGAGCAATAAATCCTTGAAGCCATATATTCACACCAATTAATGCACCCTTTTCTCATATTCATTGATCCTTCACTCCATCATCCTTCTATTCCATCTCTGCTAGCCCCCTCCACACACTGCACTAGTAAGTTGTTCTACTGCTTGGTGTTATAAATATAAGACATGAGTTTCTGATAGCTGTCTTGAAGCTATATCAAGTAGTATACGATCATGGTATCATAAATAATTGCATGTAAGCTGTCATGTCATTTGAAAAATACACAAATGCTGTATTTCTATCTTTGAAACAATACATTTTCTTACAATTGCCTCTCAACAATGCAGGCAGATATTGCAGCACTGACGAAGAAAATAGAAGAGGTAAAGGGAAAGCTGGATGAGTGGCCACCAAAGCCAAGGAATCAGGAAGAACAAAGATCTACACCCCCTCCCCCTGAGAAACTTGTAACACAAGATACAGAAAACCTGCCATTCAACTATATCAAATATGAGGTCACAAGAATGAGCTTCAACCCACCAAAACCGCTGTTTGACAAACATGGGATACCAATCGAGCAGAAGTTTGACATCATGTTGTCATATCAGTGGGATATCCAGGATTTTGTGAGGAATGTTTACATGGAGATGGACATGAAGACATTCAAGACATGGATGGATATTTGGGGAGGAATGCAGGGAAACATCAATGAAGCTATGGCAACGGCTGTGGAGAACTCAACTCTAATGATCTCTTTCCTGACAGAGAAGTATCAGAAATCAGTCAACTGCAATCTGGAGTTGATGTATGCCAAACAGAAGCAGATGCCAATAATTTTCATCAATGTCGAGCCTAATCTTCAGCTCAAAGACTGGATCCAAGAACTGGTTGACAAGACTGTTGTCTTCAATATGAGTTCAATCAGTGATTTTGGGGAAATGGATAAAGGTGTTCCCAAGATCAACCGACTTGCAGAAGCTGCAAGGAATTTGATGAAGTGGTCAGCTGCTCAGCCTAAGAAAATACGCACAGATGTCTCAGAAGAGGTTTACAGATTGCAGAATTTGTTAGAAGATGCTCTTATTGCACTGGCAGAAAAGGAGAAGAGAAAAAGATATGAGACCTGTACACGATGTGGGGCACAGTTTGAAAATGAAAGCTCAGCAGGATGTAAAGTTCATGGAGCATATTACATGGGTGGAACTATCCTGGCAGGTAGATGGGTATGCTGCAGTCAGCGTGAGAAAGATGGCATGGGGTGTGAAAAAGCTAACCACATCACTATATCAAGGAAATGGACTGAGATGAGTCATAAAGGGTGCTTCCAGTGGAATCCAAAATAACTTTCATTAACAATGTGGCTTAATAAACTCTATCCTAAAACCCTGAAATTTAATTGGACAGAAGGAAAAGACATCCCAGATAAAAGAGAGAGAGAGTGAGCCAAGGAGTATGAAATCTTGTTATGGGCAAAAGTGGGGACTATAATATTTATCACAAAACTGGTTTAAAAAGTTCATTATTTTCCATTGGAATCATAAAGCACAGCCATTGTAACTCTAATCTCAGAAGAGAGATAATGGGCAACTATATAATCTCCTGACAATACTCTATTTATTATTATCACAGCATTGGCTAAAAAAAAGTTGAAAGAATTCTTTGCATTAGAAATATATATTCAATATTTATTCTTGTAAATTAAAACATAAAATTATGTTAAATGTAACATGTGAGCTACATATATTTATAACTTCAAAACATTTACTGTGTTGCTTGCTTTAAATAAATATTGCTTGCAGACTGATGTGCAACCAGTTATCATTCAGCAGCCCAGAATATTTGACAAACAAGAAACAACTTCTGGGCTTTGTTCATTGAGCATCAGATGAGATAACTAACCACTCTGTGCCAATCAGACCACCATTTGGTCAAAAATACAATGGGTTTTTCTCTCTTCTGCCTCAATCTTCCCCATCCCCATCCCCAACCAGGAATGCCTGCAATAATGTGGGCTATACATTGTTTAGGAGTTTTTTTAATCAAAAGAGAAAGCTGAAGCGAATATAAAAAAATATAAAGTACAAATTATGGAATGTAGCATAGGGATAATTCTACCATGATATTTTTAAGGCACTAAGAGAAAAATCAGAGATTTCAAGTTGCATGTGTCTTTAGGAAGAAACATGGGGACCATGAAATGGTACAGAGGAATCTACTCTAACTATTTCTTTGATTGACAGAAGTGTATTGCCCAATTTCCATGTCACAATTGTTGTCTTGATTTGCACGTCGCAAGGAAAACATTAAAAAATTTAGTGAATGTACTGTTCACATGAATTGATAACATACCTAAACACTACAACATAGTGGAAGGTAGGATCATTCCCGAGTCTATATACACCTCTTGGTTGGACATTTAGTTATAACAAGTGAAATCAAACCCAGGAACCAGAATATAATAAATGTATTTAGTAGTAATCGTTCAAAGCTTATGAACTCACCACTTTCCTCAGTTTTAATATCCTGCACTGGGTGTTCTAAATCTTTTCTCTTTGCTGCCCTTATAGGCTTGTTTAAATTTTCAAGAGTTTGTTTTTCTATTTCTTCATCTGAGCTTTCTTCATCATCTTGATATAAAGCCCTTAGTACTCGATCCTTAAAGACTACATGGAATAACAAATATAATATAATTAATATTGTTGTGCCAATATTGTTTGAAAAACAAAGTTAGAATGAAAAGAAAGAACTCGGCAACGAATAACTTGTTTTTTGATTTGTTCTGTTTGAACTATTAACAGTACAATTATATCTCAATAATAAGGCAATTCTGGTACGTGAGTCAGTTTTTACCCCCTTCAAGTTCTAGTCTGGCCATGCATAAACCTATAGATATACTTCCAAATAACATAATGTATATATTTTGTTCTATTTTTTTTATTTAATACTTTTGCACTGGAACAGAATGATATAAAACTCTTGCTTGCTCAACCAAAACATTTATAACATTCTCATGACATAGTGTTCCACATCAGAAGGCAAGAGTTTTCTATGCATTCTGTTTCAGTAGATTCAGGAGTGGCTATGGATGGTATGGAAATCAGAGATCTTGGTAAGAGATTTCAATGCCAACCAGGGTCTTTTAGTATGCTAACCAACCTCCACAAAAGCTAGATTGTGATGGTTTTAAGTTTCTTTCACTAAACTCATAGATAATGCATAAGTCATTATAGATGTCTTGTATCAACCACGTAATACATAAATAAATAAATGGAGGGACCATAATAATAATATGTCACATGCATGGATCTTTATACCGTGATAAATTCTAATTCATTAATATTCTTTACATAAAAAATACTTACTAATGGGGATGAGAATTTTATATAAGTTCTCATTGATCATCATTAGTATTATTTGATATAAAGAGGATGACTTTATCAGAGATAAAGTTGTACCTAAGTTTAGATAAAGACTTAGGGCCTTAAAGGAAGTCATTCTCATGCACAATCATTGACGACCCACAACATCATGTCAACTAGTGCCCTGGTCTTGATCTTGGCTTTTTTTTGGGCTCACTGTGGATGGCAAGTGATGTACAAGCCTCTATCATAGTATAAATGTCCATGTTAACGATGTATATACTACTCTTTTCAGTAGATCAAGGTAGGTGGGATTTTTTAAACGCCTTATTAGCGTAAGTTATGTTAACCACAAGTGCATTTCAAATCGTCCATGTGATGCCAATGTTGTAACACATAGGCGCAGTGCAGTCGAATTTTTATCTTGTAAAAAAGCCTTTTATTTCATTACGTATTCAGATACTCAGTTATAAATGTCTGAACAATGTTCTGCCTTTTTAAAAGATACATTTTACATAAACTTCTAACTTACATGCACATCTTTCCCTACTTGATGCCATTGTCCTCCATCATCATCAACTCAACATATCATCTAGAAAAATAAAATTAACACAAAATGTTGGTGAGAGGTGAGGCATTAGGGCAGCACCACGTGTGCTTCCCTTATACTACATTATGGGTGGTCACACTTGGTATAGACACCTGCATTTTTAATATTTAATGTTAGTATTGTTGAGTGCAACCGGCAAAGATTGATGTCTCGTTCACGGACCAACATTTGAGCATTTTTCAATAAAAGATCTGCAATAAAAAACAATATCTCCAGGGAGATTTATGACTGAATTAGTAATACTATCATCTTCTAAAATCTCTAAAGTTAGAAGTTTGTTGAAGTGTATGCTAGTCGGCAAACATCAAACTTTGCAGGTCGCACTTTGAACCCGCACTTTAACGGTAATGGTAGTAAAAATAAACTACATAATTTAAGTGTGATCACAAATGTAACGTCAGACATATATCTATTTCATATCACACTGACAGCAACATAAATAAGAAGCATGAAAAAAAAGCACAGCTAATGGCTGGCATTAGTCAAAATCATTCACTTTGACAAATGCAACTGACATTTTGATACTTGGTTGAGTAAATACATTTATTTTATTTATCTTATGGTTGTAATTGAATTGCATTTAGAGCAATTTTGTCTGAAATATAATGAATGGTATAAACACTGCAATTTGTTTAATGACTGCGTTTGTAATTCCATACTAAATAATTGCACTCTACTCAGTCCAATTAAATCACTCAAGGATTGAATACAAAGTCAAGTCTTTTTTACTGTGCTTGCATGATGAAAAGGTAGACTAGGAACTCTAGCACATCAGCTGTTATAGCTGTATAGCTTCCTCTGCAGACGTTATTCATGTTGGTCTCTTATTAGTGAGAGGGGATAAAAGACCGACGTATTGAGTATAATTTTAGACTCAAATATAGAGTTTCATGTACTTTGATTGGTGGAGTGACTAGTGGTTCTGAGAAGTTAATCACTGCTCAAGCCATGATTATTGAAGAAACACAAAACGTGCGCGCTTGCTGTGTGCAGTTCTAAATGGGTTGGGGTTGGCAGAACACTTGAAAAGTGATAGGAAAAGCATCTAATGCATACAACACGAACCACTCCTTGAGTGTTCTGTCAATCCCCAACTGCTTTATGACTCCACAAAGCACAGCAAGCGAGTTTCTTACTTCTTTTTTGACATACAGTTTACAGGAACGACAAAACTGAAAATGTGCATCTGTGCTGCATGCTCACATAAAGCACATGCACCCAAAACAGTTATTTTTTGAGAGGTTTTCCAAATTTGCCAAAGTAAAAGTTAATACCAATACGTTCTCTCATTCTGATTCCCCCCTCCTCCCCTCCCCCCCTCCCCCCGATATTCAAGTCTAAAAATATCATACTACAATTATTCCCCTCAGGCTCAGTGATTATGATGAGTATATTCCATGCCATTTGAAATCTCGCGGCTTGGTAAATAATCACAATTTTTGTTGATATATATCAATGGCATGGGATATAAGCTTATTTATAAGCTAAGGAAAGCATTTTGCAGATCAATCTAGATGGCGTGCATTTCATAATATTTTCAAACACAATACTCTTCAGAACCTAAAAATAAGAATAAGTATAGAATAATTCAAAAAAAACAATGCATTACAATATCTATCTCAACAGTCGATTAGGTAGAGTAAGGTTTACCTTTCTTGGAGTCTTCCCCTTGTTGTTGTCTGCCATTTTTTCAAATCCTTCGTCAACGTGAAAGACTGGGCACTACTTTAGTATCTCGTGCCCGCGGGACACCCGGGATCGGCGTATTGACGTTCAACCAAATTGATAAGGATAAAAAAAGTTAATGATATAAATAAGATCTACATTTTGTGCAAATTAACCATTAAAAATGACATGTAATTGTAATTGTCTTATTTCTTCGTTTGTTGTTTGCAAAATATTATAAATTCTAGAATTGGGTTACCTTTGATTTAATTGGCTGCGCAGGGTATGGATTGAAGCAGCATGTGGCGAGTAAAAAGAGTTTCAGTCAGCTAATAATTTAGAAATTTTAAAAGAGGGTCTGTATGCCGGGGTTCACTGACAACTAATAAATTATCGCCAGGAGATTTAACTGACAAATGACAAAAACTGATAACATACTAAAATTTAACTGACAACCGTGACAAAAAAGCGAAGTTTTAACTGTCAACTTCCATAGTGTACCCCTTTCCCTCCCCTAAAGACCTAAAGAATATGAATATATCATCTACACAAGGGCGTGGTTACTGTGGAATCAGGTTTAACTATATATCTGGTATAGACTGGTGTATCGAAAACACGTCAGTAACTCGCTGTTATTTCGTGACATATGCGAGAAGTATTCGCAATATTGAAAAGCCCTCGGCTATATATTTTAACCGCTATGAGTAACACACCACATCTTGATTATTGCGATAAAAAACTGTGCGCAAGGAGGAATATCGTAGAAATCACTTCTAATGAATAACAACACATTCTCAATTGAATAGGTTTCATTTTTATTTCTACGAATGAAATGTAAAACTGACAGCCTGCGAGCTATCAGACGAATCTGAGTCGCAAATCCAAACTACAAGTTTTGATCTTTGCGTTGCTTTTGTGTTGTACAGACTTTTAGCCTACGGTAAGACGGATTGTTATTCGCATGGTCAGTTAGTAAGAATGCTCATTGCTATGGAAAATCCTTGTTCACATCTGTTCCCATAGGGTTCTTTTGTGCCCTTCTCAAGATGAGAGGAAAACCGGGAAAATCGAAGAAAAACTAAAAGAGCGAGGGAAAAGATTACTATATACCGCAAAATTAAACATAAAAAAAACTCACATGTGGTGTTCACTGGGATCAATCTAGTAACTCGACCCTTAGAACCACATGCACGAACACGCTGACAAGCAATCATGTTAGCCAAAGTGGACGAGTACTAGGCAGTGGGTGGGACTACATCTTCCGTGATCTCCCAAGGAAAAGAAAGCTCACTAAGTAAAACAAAAAAAAAATAAAAAAAATTGAACATCAGTTTCCAAAAGTCTGTCAGCAGTTTAGGACACCAAAAGACCTAAGTGCTAACTATCACAGATAAACAGAAAGCAAGCTTTGTGGTTATTGTATGGCCGGCTTTGTTTGCGGGGCCATTGTGTATTGCAACTAATTATGATATTCTCCTCGGATACTGGAAGTCAGTCAATGGCAGTTTCCTGGGTTGCTCTGGTAACCAATGCTGATCCCAGAGAACAAGACACTTTTGTTATTAGGGTTATATCATGAAGAAGCATTTTGTTGAATGGATTCAGTAGGAATAAAGCGTTACGAATTTTGATAAGCTCCTCGCCAAGGCAAACTTTATGGACATTCAATGAATCAATGCATTGCAACTCCCACTCATTTCACCTTGAGGGTGGAACAGAGGTTGTTTGAAAACGATATTCGTCAGTTTTTTAAAGCAAAACCTCACTCCCCACCCCACCCCCCTTCGGAAGTCCCCCGTCGTGTCGAACTATTGGAAAGAAATCCTTTGTTCAAAACTCTACTTCAATTAATTACATGTCATCAACAGTTGCCAGCCGTTTTATTTAAAATACGAGGCACTGATCGTCAAACCTTGGGATAACGTCAATCAGACTTGATTGAGAGAAAAAATCCACATAGTACTGAGGGCTAGTCAGCTAATCAATTACCCTTTATTGGTAACGAGAACCAGCTGAGGCTAAAAAAAAGATTAGAATCAGTTTCATCTCGACTGATAAGTCATTTTCCTTCTCTTTTTATCGACCTCAACGCAAAACAAAACATCGCTGAAGGGATGGGTCGTGAGGCAGTTTACTAGAGACGTACGGCATCTGTCGTGTGTCATAATCCAATAAATATTCGCTTATGGACTACTCATTCATTCATTGCTTCTATATTGCCAATTATTTAGATGAGGTAGCAGCGTTTAACAGCAGTTGCAATCTTTTAGTTTCATCTAATCTAGTTCTGTTTTGACTTTTTCATTGCTATATTTCAGTGCAGGCTAATTGAGAATTGTCATCAGCCGAGGAAGTACGTTATACCACCTTTTTTTTTGGGCGACAGTCATTTAATTTGCCTTCAGCTTTAACAGTGGCGGATATGGGGTGGAGGGGGG